AATGTGTACATTGGTCAATTATGCTTACCAGTTGCATTCCACTTAGTTCATCTGCCAAAGTCATATTTCCAGACATAATTTTCTTCAGTGAATCATTAAATTCACTTAGTTGCTCCAATGTTTCCTTTTTGGTTTCTTCATATTCCTCTGTATCAAGTTCCTCTCTAAGATACAGTGAATGAACATCATAACAAAAAACAAAATAAAAAACAACACAAGAGTTTCAAATAAAGAAAGCAATATTAGTATTGTATTTAGTATCATAAAATTTATAGATACATATATTTACCAAAAATATCTCAGGGAAAAACAAGGGTGGTGTCCACCAATATACTAATAATGAATGTATTCAAATATGAGCAGTGGTACATTTTCTTGCAATGCCATTACTTTACTAATAAGACCTTTTAATTTTACTAAAATAAAATACACCTAACAAATATTCTTTCATTGTTGTTGTTATATGCTATCTAGTCAGAAATGACTCACAGCTGACCTTCTAGGAGGCTGTGCATGAGAGATGACGGTCCATTTTTCTCAAAGCAGCTGGTGGATTCAAATTGCAAGCCTTTGCGTTGGTAATATGATTCCTTACCCACTATGCCACCACAGCTCCCTTAATTTCCTTTAAGCATCTATTAATCAATGATATAACATTATGCAAGCCTTTAGTCTCTTTACCTATAAATTACAAATAATCATGTTATTTTTATTAGATTCCCCAGACCCAATGGGATCAGACTTGTTTTCACTGGCTCATTTTTTGGAAGTAGATTGTCAGGTCTTTCTTTCTAGTTTGTCTTAGTCGAGATGCTTCTCAGAAACTTGTTCAGCATCCATGGCCATAGTACCCTGAATACACCTCATCTTGTCTGAAACCTGTTCAGCATCAGCATCAGGCCTGCATTAACTGACAATGCCTACACTGGCTGGGAATCAAACCGAAGTTTCTGGCATGGATAGTGAGAATTATCCCACTCAACTAGGACTACCCATCCCTTCAACCTTAGGCAGATATCACTGTGATACAGTCTTAATCTTAGGGTTGTTGTGATCATTAGATGAGATAGACAAAATATGAAGTATATAATAGGTACTCAATAAATAACTGGTTTTTTCTATACTACTACTACTACTACCAGAGTGAACTTTGGAGAGAAGGATGATGAGGCTTTGCCTTACATACTTTGGGCATGTTGCTAGGAGGGCTATTCCTTGGAGAGGGACAAGATAGTTGGAAAGGTGGGTCAGCAAAAGAGAGGAAGACCCTCGACTAGGTGTACTGACACAGTGACTGCTGCAATGGGCTCTTGTGTGTCAGGAAATGTGAGGATGGCACAGGATAGGACAGGGTTCAGATCTGTTGTTGATAGGAGTCATACTTGACTCAACAGCACCTAACAACAATCATCATTAATGGTAGTACATAGTGTACTTGAAGTATACCACTATTTGTACTTATATTAGTTATCATTTGAATAACAGAAAAACCAAACCGACAACCATTAGACTGAGTCCAAATGATAGTGGCCCATAGGGCAGAGTGGAAGTGCCATATAGTTTCCAAAGCAGTGAATCTACAGCTCTGATTTTCTCCTACAGAGTGATCACCAACCTTTTGGTTAGCAGTAAACAACCCAATTATTTACCACAAATAGCAACAACTACCATTTACTAGACATTTAACATGGGTCAAGTATTAGTTCTTCATTTGTGATATTTAATACAATATTGCCCATCAACAGATGACTGGATAAAGAAACTATGGTACATGTACACAACAGACTACTACCTAACACTAAAGTATAATGAAGAACTCACAGCACAACACATAACGTTAATGAATCTTTTGCTGAGTGCAGTCAGTCACAAAGGACAAATATATTAATTCAGTATTATAAAAAGCTAAGGTTTATATACAGAAAGAATCATGCTTGGATGGTTACAGAGGGGAAAGAAATAAGAGAAGAGTAAAATCAGAAAAGAAATAATAGAAACATATTCTTCTTGTTGTTAGGTGCCGTCGAGTCGCTTGCGACTCATAGCGACCCTATGTATAACATCCCTAAACTCTGCTCTGTCCTGTGCCAATCTCATTGTCTCTGACATACCCATCCCAATTGCCCCAGTCACCGAATCAAACCACCTCCCAGAGGGCCTTCACCTCCTGCACCTGCCCTCCACCCTCCCAAGCATGA